AAAAAAAAAAAAAAAAAAAAAAAAAAAGTAAATCAAACCGTGTCACTTTTTAAAGCCTACCGCACACTATGGTGAGAATCTTTTGGGCTAGGAAGAAGAGTGTAACTTTTGGGAATGCCTTTTTGTGGAGGCTAGGAGGAGAAAAAGATGCCATAAAGGAGACAAAAGAAGAAATAGTTGGGTGAGAACAAATGTAGTACAGTTTCACAGAAATCTAGGGATGAGAGGGTCACAAGAAGGGAGAGGTAGTGACAATGTCATTGCCAATAGGAGCTCACTGGTGCTCTATGAGGAAAAAAAAAAAACACAAGGCAGGGAGGAAGCCCAATTGCAAGGGGTTAACGAGTGAAACCAACACTGTCAGGTGGAGCTTCTTCTTTGAAGAAATTTGATTGTGAAAGGAAGGAATTTGTATATCAAGGGATGTTAGAGCTCATGAATGATTGTTTTTAGGATCAGAGAGAAAGGCACACATTTACTGACAGAGGTGAAGGAATGTGTGGGCCTGTAGGAGTTGACAGAAAGGTGAGATCATGACAGATTGGCAATATAAAGAGGAAATGGGATTTGTCCTGGGCCTTCAAGGATAGGCAGTGAAAGGAAGAGGACAGGATACAGGCTGGCCAGCTGGCACCCTAAAATCTGGACTGTAATAAGATGATGTGAAAGTGGATTGTTCTCTGTGTTCTTTCAGATCTAGCAGCAGGTAGCCGAACACTTCAACACACTTCTAAAGTGGAAATAGTATCCTTATTTGACACACAATGTGGCAAGATGACTCAAGTATGGAGAAAGATAAATTGTTGCAATGAGGCTCTGAAATTGGCAGCCTATTCCTGCAGCAAATCTCACAGGGTGGCTGGACACTTTGTTCATGATTCAGACAGAGCACAAATCATGCCACAGGTCCCTAACTCAATTTTCCACATGCTTAATATCCATACAGTCCTTAACTTGGGAAGAAAACCCTTCCCAAAGCACTGGAATTGCAGATGGAAGGCCTAAGTTCAGAGGAAGTAGGTTGAACTTTGGCTCCAAAGTGTTCTGGTGTGGTGACCCTGGATAAGGGTCCTTGACTCACTTTCTTCAACCATTATTGCTAAAGGTAGTTTTTGAACCAGCAAGATCAGGTTAGGCTATGCCACTTCTTTTGGCGATCTCGCCTGTCTTTGCTTGCTGGCAGAAGCAGGCAGCAGGGAAAGCAAACACACTGAAAAGGCACTACTCCTGTGGCTGCCTTCTTTGTGCATTTCTGCATGTTGCCCACTGTGCCATACAATCTGCCCACAGATGCCTCAACTGTACTCAACAGACTGACCCTTGTTTTAATGTCTTTTCCTTGAAGAGTGTCATTGTTGAGAATGGGAACTCTATAGAGCCAGACTGCTTGGGCTCAAATCCCAGCTCTACCACTTACCAGCTGTTTGATCTTGAACAATTTGCTTAAATGCTCAGCACCTCAGTTCCCTCATCTGTAAGATGGGAGTGACAACAGTATCTAGCTCACATGGTAACTATGAAGATAGAATAAGATGGTTCATGCTAACTGCCTGTGTAACAGTCTGGCATCTGGTAAGCACTCAAATATTGCTTAGGATTTAAGAGATATTATTTAAGTCTCCCCCCACTGTTTCCTTACCCCCACACCACTACTTCAAGAGTACTTTTGAGAACAGGTCCTTGGCTTTTAGGCCTAGCCTTAAAAGAAATCAGACTTCTGCTAAATATAGGGCAACCATATCGTCCAAACTGGGACACTTTTAAGAGTGACAAAGAGTGCTATTAATAATTATGCCACGACAACAGGCATACATGGAGACTGTCCTGGGCAAACCAAGACCTAAGGTCACTCAAGTTTAATAGGAAACAAAGACTAAATGTGGAAAACACTGTATTTATCTCCACTGCATTTAGTGTAGGTATTAGGTATTGAGTAAGTGCAAAGGGGGGCAGTAGAGGTTTTGTGAGACATGGGTAAGAACGACAACGTTTGCCCCACCAGTTGTGTAAAATTCCTACAGTGTAGTGAAACCTAATTAGTGAGGATGGGATTGGAGACTGGTTCATCCTTACTGAATAAACCCTCTCTTGTTACACGATGGTTAATGAGTAGTATAAACAGGATTCTGCCAAATATTTATAATACTTAGGAGAACAAATTGTTGTTAAGTACCTTCCAGTAGTACAGAAGCCCCATTTGCACACAATTGTAACACTGAGTAAAAATCTTATTCATTCATCAGTACAGGTCCCCTAAAGATGTCAATAAGCCCATTTTAATTTAATGAGCCTAGTTTGAGTGGGTATGTATTTGAAAGATAAAACTGTGTTTCTTTACTTATATTATCTATTATAGAATATATATGATTACTATATTAAAATAATTCTACTTTGAGCCAATTAATGAGCTTTGACTGTACTGTATAATTAAATAGAGTATGTAAAATAGAGCCACAAAATAAACCCCAGTCACAAAAACACACATAAAGTTTTGAACACTGGCATCAGACATGATTTAATTGGACATTCCAATTTTTAATTCTAATTTCAAAACAGAAGTGCTTAAAAAAAGTCCAAAGTTTCTTTTAGTATCACATGCTTACAAAGAATAAAATGCAGATCAAGTTTTCTAAAAAGTTGCTTTAAATGTGAAATACCACTGGATGGAGAGCACAGTGATAGGCAATTTAGTAAACCCAGAGAAACGCAGCAGTCAGTGTCAGTTCAGGCAAACTAACATGGCAGAGAGCAGAGGTTTTCACCTGTGCCACTCCAGATGTACTTCCTGTGGCTGGGGTATGCACAGCCAGTGAAAAGACAGTGTCAGAACAGGTCATAAATTATCTTTATAAGGTGACCAGAAAATCATGTAATCAGAAAGCTACTTACTGTGTGTTTCCATTTGCTCTGAGAGACATTCTATTCTAAAAAGGTTGGCTATCCTCTCTCATTTCCACTCTCTGTTTTCTATCAGCCTACTTACTGTGTTCACTTACTCATGCACTCAAAAGACTGTCATGGGTTTTGTAAGAACCGTTTAGAGAGATCCCTAGCCCCAGCCCCATTCTTGGAGAAAAATCTGAAAAATCTGAGAGAAAGGAAAGGACAGAAGTAGGAAGTTACCTGAGTGCAAACAGGTAAATTAGCAGACTCTTGACACATAAACAAGGAGAAGGAAAGTGCTGTGGACTGAATATTTGTACCCCTCTGAAATTCACATTGGGTATTCAGCCTTAATCCCCAAGGTGATGGGATTTGGAGGTGGGGGCCTTTGGAAAGTAATCAGGATTAGATGAAGTCATAAGGAAAGAGTTCCCATAACAAAATTAGTACCCTTATGAGAAAGAAGAGTCTAGAGTCCCCTCCGTCCCCCTTTTCTCTGCCATCTGAAGACACAGCAAGAAGGTGGCCATCTGCAAACCAGGAAGAGGGTCCTCCCTGGACACTGAGTCTGCAGGAACCCCAATCTTGGGCCTCTAAGCTTCCAGAAATGTGAGAAACAAATGTTTGTTATTTAAGCCGCCCAGTCTACAGTATTTTGTTACAGCAGCCTCAATTAAGAAAGTTAGGAGAAATATTCTTCAAATCAGGTTACCTAAACATGGACTAGGGGGAAAAAGACTTAAGGATTCCTCCATTACTCTTGGTGTGTCAGCCTGGGGGCCATGGTCACCACCATCCATATAACACATATTTACATAGGCCGCCAAATGTAGATACAGCTAGATATACAGACACATTGAAACTACTTACATTCAGAAAAATTCTCATGTATGCTTAGACACACACACAAATGCAGCTATTTATAAGAAACAGATATATGCCAACAGATATCAAAATACACATAGATATGAACACTAGAATCAGGGAGTGAAGATGTAAGTGAAAGAGTTTAAGAACCGATGGGAGGACAGGGAGTTGGTGGTGGGTGGGGGGTTGGATGCTGTAAAAAGTCAGTAGGCGAGTGAGACAGACAGGTAAGGATCACCAAGGAAGGACTGCTTGTGAAGGCAGCTATAGACTTGACTGCTGGATTCCTGTTTGCCAAAGACAGAGACTTCAATTATTCTGCATATTGTGTCTTGGCCCACTCTTCTGAGGCAAAAGTTGGTGCACAAGGCTCTCTTCAGGGTACTAACTTACCTCTGATTGATTCCCTCTCTGTTCCCTAGGTGTAAGACACTATTGCAGGCATCTCTTTTCTTTTCCTTTTTGGAACTGGGCTCCTGGCTCCTGGGTTTTTCTGCATTTTCTGCTACAGATACATCTCTGAGCACCAGCAATCTTCAGAAAAGGTGATTTCAATTGCTAATATCAAAATTCTTAAATACAGACACTGCACTTGCATTTTTTGATATTTCACCAAAGGGAGAGTAGAAATTATGTTATGTAGATACAGAGAAGGCAAGAACAGGGACAGTAATTCTATACAGAAAGGCGTTTGTCACTCAGTGCGAGGCAACACGTGAGTAATGAAGAAAACCATGATCTGGTACTCTCCTTTCCCAAGAAAAGGCACTTAGAATAGATATTTCCAATTTGTGGTAGTATAAAATCCAACACTTTAGGGTTTCCCCACTTGAAACAATGTCCCAAAGCACCCACCACTCATTCACACAATGAAACTACACATAAGAAAAATTTCCAAACTTGAGTCATAAGTTATTATTAATACCTACTCTGCAAACAGTAGTTAGGAAACTAAATTTGTAACAGATCTGGAGGATAAAAACACATGCAAACTTCCATGAACCGTGAAAGAATTAAGGCCTACAACAGAGTGCCTGGGCGGGCATATTCCTCCAGGCAGAGGTTCACTTCGAAAGCAGTTAGTGGATCAGAAAAGTTCATTCTTCTTGGGTGGGATGGGATGGAAAGGGGCAGGGTAGGAGTGATCAGGCCAACACATTTCAGTCCCATGCATGATCAACCGAGGCAGGAACCAGCTGTCAAAAGGCTCCCTGCAGCCAGGGCCCAGAGGCCTCACTGCATGGCACAGATGCTGTGAGGCAGGAACTCCTGTACGTAGGTGGCAGCTGCCTTGGAGAGGTAGGTCATGGTGCCAAACCTGCCACTGGGCGCACTGTCATACAGAAGAGTACAGATGCCAGACGCAGGATCCTTGGCCAACATGGTATCATCTGCCCCGAGGGTTTTCTGTTTGGTTTTTAAGGGTAGGAGAACACAGGGGAAAGGAAAAATTACTAATCCTATTAGTTAAAGTCCTCATTGGGATTACTCAGAGCCTCCTCCCCATCACCAGCTAGTTGGATCTTAGGCTGTTTTGGTAGGAAGGGATCGGTTATGCACAAAATGTTGAATGTGAGTTTCTATATGTACATTTTTCCCTAGATACCCACATCCTACGACATTATTTTTTTAATTAAAATTTTTTTAATGTTTATTTTTGAGAGAGAGAGAGACAGAGAAAGAGAGGGAGAGAGAGAGAGGCAGAGAGAGAGTGGGGGCAGAGGATCCAAAGCAGGCCCCAGGCTCTGAGCTGACAGCACAGCCCAGTGCGAGACTCAAACCCACGAACCATGAGATCATGACCTGAGCTGAACCGACTGAGCCACCCAGGTGCCCTCATGATGACATTACTTTTAAAATATTAATTGTTCAGAATTTTGAAAGTTAAATATAACAGTTAATTAAAAGAGTTGTACCTGTTAAGAGTCAAATGTTAATACTTACAAATCACCCCAGACGGACTTGGGTCCTAATCTTTCCAGTACTACTGATTTTAGCACATATTATTTTATCTTGCTTTTGATGACTATTTCTTTCTAAGTAGACTTAGTTCAAATAGACTGTACACTTTCCAAGCTAGAGTCTATGCCTAAAAGGGATCATATTGTCTGATACACAGACTAACAGCAATCCAGAATATTTAAAATTAGCACTGTCCTGGGTACTTCTGATTTTTTTTTCGCATTTTCCCACAGTGCCTAATAATAGAATGAAATACCTATTACATATTTTGGAGATTTTCCTATTGATGACAGGGCATGTACTTCACCTTAGTGTTTCTACTCTTAATCTAGGAAACATTTGGAAAGCTTTCAATAGTCTGAATTTTGTAAACATGGTTAATGTCCTGGAAGAAGATACATTAAGAAAAAGTTTTTAAATGTAGAATTAAAAGTTTCACTTTAATATTTTCCTATAGGTAAGTAGCTAACGAAAAAACCAAACCAAACCAAACCAAAATTGAATCTTCTCTTTTCCTCAATAGTCCAAAAAGGATATGCCATCCAGTTGTCTCTTCTTAAGTCCTTATTGCTATAAAAAGCCATGTGATAAGAAGACTGAAATATGATGAAAAGCATAAAAGCCTCCTGAATTCCAGGCAACTTTACCATCTCACACAATCACAAAAACACTTGGTGAAAGACAGAGGCCGTCCCGCAGCCTACTTCTTCTGCAAACAGAGCTCAGAGCCATTACAGAGGGACCCAGAAAAGAGCTATGAGGAAGAGGGCACAAGAAAGTGACCTTGGCTTCACTAAGAGCTCTGAATGCAGTTAGGTTAGTGTCAGACATTCCCCTTTGAGAAAACAACAGGCTTGCCACTTGCCTACCTGTTCTTGAAGGAACAAGTCATTAGCAATATGCACTATCTTTTCCACAGCAATGATGCTTCCAATACTATGAATTTCAATATCTGCCATCATGGTGAGGACAAGGATGGCTTCAACCAGAAGCTGGCGGTACTCTGGCTGAGGTACACGGTTCAGGACAGATTCCACATGAACGGAGAATTTAATCTCTCCTGGAGTCATCTGTGATAGAGAAAAAGAAAATCAATTCCTAAGAGCCCATCATCCAGGAGTTATCAATCACCTATTCTGAAAGGCAGGAAAAGCACTGTAGCCAAAGTGTAGCTCAGTCTCCTTCAAAGTACCTGAGTGAGTAAATTGGTCCGATCTTTTTGGAATGCAGTCTAGCAATGCATAACAAGAGTCCTAAAAGTGTCAATGCCCCCTAACTCACAATCCTATTTTTGAGAGTTTATCCAAAGTTAATAATTCAAGTGAGGGAAAAAGCCCTATGTGCAAGAGTGTTTACAGCATTAGTCACAAATGTAAAACTAAAAGTAATCTAAACATGGGAATGGTCATATAAATAAATGGCATATTATGGTACAGCAACTTCATGGGTTTTTATAGAGTCATTTAAAAGAATAAATATGATGACCGTAGATACAGGAAAAATCTAAGTAGAACTTAAAACTGTATGTACAGGATTACTAGAATTATGTAAAACATTTATATACTGTTAGATTAAAATGGGCATGAAGAAATACAAAGTTATTTTAGGGTGAAGAGCAGTGAGGAATAATTTTTGGCAAAATTGTATTGAGTATATAATGGACCTTATATATAATGGACCCAAATATATATATTTGGATCCTAAAGACCAGGGTTCAAGTCCTGTCTTTGTTAGTTACTAGTTCTAGGACCCTGAACAATTCATTTCCCTAAATTTGTTTCCTTATTTGTAAATCGGAAACTACAATTCCTTCCTTAGCTGTCTCACATACCTGTTTTTTAAAAATTTTTTAAAAATGTTTATCTTTATTTTTGAGACAGAGAGAGACAGAGCATGAGCGGGGGAGAGGCAGAGAGAGAGGGAGACACAGAATCAGAAGCAGGCTCCAGGCTCTGAGCTGTCAGCACAGAGCCCGACATGGGCTTGAACTCGTCCACTGCGAGATCATGACCCGAGCTAAAGTCAGACGCTCAACCGACTGAGCCACCCAGGTGCCCCTCACATACCTGTTTTAAAGATCAAATTAAAGAATGTGTAAAGGTACTCTGAAGACTCTTAAAGGTACCATGTATTATTATTAATTATATTAACATTTCAATCTTGCTTAAAAGCAGAGAAAGGACAGAGAGGGCACAGTGTTCTTTATTAGAGAAGAGGCCTAGAGGCAAGAGTGAAGCTCTGAGGCATAGCATTAGCTTCCTGCACTCGCCCCTCCAGCCATTGCCTACAACAACTCCAGTGTTTTTGAGAATGCTCTACCATCCAATCTTACTATTCCTAATTTGCTAATTCTAGTTCTTTTGTTGGCTTTGTATAAAAGTTATTTCTTTAGAATATCTATGTGATTGGGCAAAAAGGGAAATATAAAAGCGCCCAATAATACATGTCTGTGGTTCATGGCATTATTTTCCAACCATGGTTATATATCAGACTCATTCTAAGGATTGTTTGTTTGTTTATTTGAGAGAGAGAGAGAGAGAGAGAGAGAGAGAGAAGGACAGAGAAGGAGAGAGAATCTCTCCATGTTGGAGTCGGATGCAGGGCTCAATCCCACAACCTGATCATGACCTGAGCCAAAATCAAGAGTTGGACGCTCAACTGACTGAGCCACTCAGGTGCCCCAAGGATTTTTTTTTAAAGTACAGATGCTCAGGTTCCATCCCTGGAGATTTTAATCCACTAAATTGGAGATGGGAGCTCAGGTTGCTATGACATATGGTTAGAGCTGAGGACCACTAGTTCATAATATAATAGTCTACAAGCATCCTACAAGAGAAAGGTGGGGATGAAAAGGATGGGGACATGAGAGGTCATCCATTTCTAGATTTCTATCTTGTCTGCCCTCTCTAACTGGCAATACTCACATAAACCAGCCTAACTTAACCATCAAAAGGGGGCTGTCCTTATATAATTAATGTAATACATAATTACTCTCTAATGTTCCCATTCTATTTCTTTTCCTATTCTGTTTTTAAAATTTTTTTTTTCCAACGTTTATTTTTATTTTTGGGACAGAGAGAGACAGAGCATGAACGGGGGAGGGGCAGAGAGAGAGAGGGAGACACAGAATCGGAAACAGGCTCCAGGTCTGAGCCATCAGCCCAGAGCCTGATGCGGGGCTCGAACTCACGGACCGTGAGATCGTGACCTGGCTGAAGTCGGACGCTTAACCGACTGCGCCACCCAGGCGCCCCCCTATTCTGTTTTTAAAAAATATTCTCTCCTTTCCTCAACTGCACTTCATGTTTAGCTGATCTAGAGTCATAGAACTGTTATGTTGAAAAATGATCACTGAAATACTTTAGTGACATAAACCATCAATCACATAAATGTGAAAGACACAGAATCTCACCTCTCTAGTGGTTGAAGAAGGAAGAACAAAACCTTCTACAGAGAGTCCATGACACTGCAAAAGAGCAAAAACATGTTGTCACCAAGGATATGCTGATAAATGGGAGCCTGTAAGGAGACACTTAGTATTTCTAAGTGCGCTTCATGGGGTAGATGCTGAACAATCACAGGCCAGTGAAAGGCCCTGCAGCCCAAGTGTCCTTGCCAAGGGCTTATGATTATTATGTGGCAAGAAGCAAGGCTGGGCTATGGTAGATGCAAGATTTACCCTCAATTTAAAGGAGTGGAAGTGATAGAGAAGGTCTACCTTCTGGGATAGACTAGTCCCAAAGATTCAGAGACTATCAGAAAAGATATCATGCTAGGTCCCAGACCCATCACAAATAGGCTTTCAGAAAGATTTTTAGGCTGAAGAATAAAAACCCTCAAAATACATATTTTTCAGACTTGTATAGTTACTACATTTTAAATTTTTTTTAATGTTTATTTATTTTTGAGAGACAGAGAGAGACAGGGCATGAGCAGGGGAGGAGCAGAGAGAGGGAGACACAGAATCAGAAGCAAGCTCCAGGCTCTGGGCTGTCAGCACAGAGACCGACGTGGGGCTCAAACTCACGAACGAACCGTGAGATCATGACCTCAGCTGCAGCTGGACGCTTAACTGACTGAGACACCCAGGCACCCAGCAGTTACTACATTTTCTAGTTAAGCATCCCCTGCCCCCGAACATCAGTGCCCTTGATGCCCTCACTCTGCTGTACTTTTACTACAATACTTGTCTTCTTTTAATTCTATATAATTTACTTATTATGTTTATTATTTATTGAATAGCAGAATCTAAGCTCCCATAAGGATAGACTGTTGTCTATTTTGTTCTTTGCTGTATCACCATGAGCACTTAGGACACTGCCTAGCGTACAGCAGATGCTCAGGAAATATAAGTGAATGATATTTTATCTTCTCTCTTACAATCAACTCAATCATTAAAAAGCAATGGGCATTAAGGACTTGCCATTTTAGATGTTAAACAAATTAAAACAACATATATTAAGCCACAGACAAAGATTCCAGTCCAGCAGGTTTACTGGCTCTGGTACCTGACACTTCCATCCCATGTTTCATATGCCAAATAACAGTCTTAGTACAGAGGGCATTTGTTTGTCCTCTTATATTAGGATTCCAAGTCCATGTTTTGATTCTGCCATAAAATACTCAATCTTCCTGGTCATATTTAAATGTTCCTTTTCTTGTATTTGCAAGACCTTGCGGTTCTGTACCTTTATCATAATACATTTCAGCTTTACATTATAGCTGCTATTTAAGAAGATAACTATGGATTAAACTTCTTGATGATAAAAACAGATACATTCCATGGTATCTGGGGTAGAACAGCACCCACTACATGTCTGTGAAATCAAATTGCCATAACCCAGGCATAGCTGTAGAGATAAAATATCTGTCTGTGACCAGGGTGCTAGAGAAGTTAGATGGAGAGTTTTAATAACACTCTCTGAAAAGAAGATTTCCAGAGCTACTAGTCTGAGGAAACAACTTTTACCTTTCCAAAAGATCACCTGTTTTGGTCCCTGGAAGAATATCATTGTGCCAAGGGGAGAAGCATAACTAAGGTTTTGAAGCTCTGGATGAAATCTTCTTCAGGTCCTTGCTAAGGGCAATGAAGCAGAAAGTGCCACCTAAGAGACTATAAATGAGACCTATGAATGAGTACCATGGTCTTCCTGGCCCTCTAAATCTGTCACAATCATACTGGTGTGATGTCCTCTTAAATGTCTTTGGCAAGCTAGGCCTTTGAAAGAAAAACAAAAATTGGTCACACCAACAAAGGCTTTGGGTCATTAAAATCATTATAATCTTGCATCTATTTAGTAGTTTTCATCCAAGAAAAAATAGAACAGCTTCTTACACTAACTCCTCAGACACTGCAGCAGTTTTACTCTACTGTCAGCACATTACTACAAATAACATTTCCACTCTACAATAGCTACAAAGAAAGCAGACTCTTTATCACCAGATTTTATAAGTAGCAAATGTATCACAAAGTCCAACAGTGTTCAAGTATGGGCAAAAGCAGAGAAGTGATGATTTTTGAAATCTAATTTATAAAAAATACCTTAGTGTCAATAATAGAGACTAAATCATAAATAATATCAAAATAATAAATCAACTTCTTTGATTATGTCTTCTAGGTTTTGTCCATATGAGCATATGACATTTATATAATTGTAGTGATGTCACAGTCAAGTCATATCTCAGCCAAGGAGACTGAGGATATCAAGTGGGAAAATAAAGATACATCTACAATGTGTTATGCTTACCTTCTGTAAAACTTTCCATACTTTTTGATAAAATCCAATTGGCACTCTGTTCAGTGCTCCATCTAGCCTTCTTCGGCGTTGCCACTGACCTTGACGATTATCTTTAGATGTCTGTTCACCTCTAGGAAAGGACCCACTACTTGGAGTCACAGATGTTCCAGGTGACTTGGGAGAAGAGGAGAGGAAAGAACATAAATCAAAAGCTATCTCTGTTCTTCTGATAAAGTATTATAGCATAGTGAATAATAAACACTCTCAGTAGAATTAGAAACCACATATTAAGTGTAACACCCAAGATAAAGAGGTTACAGTGAAGCTAGTAGACTTATGAGTAGCTAGCAACAATGTAAACCTTTGTAAATCTAGATCCTTTTAGAAAGCAATCTAGTGATACTTAAATAGTGCCATACAAATATTGATGACCTGGGAGTTTCTTAGCTGTCTCTTTCCTTGGTTATCTCTGTTAAAATTCCAGCTGGTCTATGGCTTAGCTTGTTGCTTTCATGGGCTATAATACAAGCCTCAACCAAATTAAAAGAATTGAAATCAGATAAAGCATGTTCTCTGACTACAATGAAATTAAATTAGAAATAAAAAACACAAGGAAATTTAGGAAATTTACAAATATGTGGAAATTAAACAATATGCCTCTAAATAACTGGTGGTTTAAGAAAGAGATCACAAGGAAAATTAGAAAACACTCTGAGATAAATGAAAATGAAAATACAACATGCCAAAATTTATGGGACGCAGCTGAAACAATGCTTTAAAGAGAAATTTATGTCATAGATGCTTGTATTAAAAAAGACGAAATATCTCAAATTGATAGCCAAACAATGAAAAAAACCTTCAGACAATGAAAAAAACAAGAGCAAGCTAAGCCAAAAGCAAGAAGGAAGAAAACAATAAACAGTGCAGGAGAAAGAAATAAAATAGAGAATAGAAAAGCAACAGAGAAAAGCAATGAAACTAAAATTTGTTTCTTTGACAGTAAATATAAACTAAATTGACAAATATTTAGCTCCCCCTCAAAAAGTTAAGACTGAATGTATTAAAATCAGGACAGAAAGAGGGAACATCACCTCTGACTTTAAAGAAACAAAAAGGACTCTAAGGACGTACCATCAGCAGCCATACGTCAACAAATTACATAACTTAGATGAAATGGACAAATTCCTAGAAAGACATAAACTATCCAACCTGACTCAAGAAGAAACAGAAAGTCTGAATAGATCTATAATAGAGATCAAATTAGTAATTATAAAACTTCCCACAAAGAAAAACTCAGGCACAGATGGCTTCACTGGTTAATTCTATCAAACATTTAAAGATTAATTATCAGTTCCTAACAAACTCTCCCAAAAAAAGAGAAGGAACTTTCCAACTCATTTTGAGGCCAGTATTACCCTTATTCCAAAATCAAAGACATCACAGGAAAACTACAGATCAATATCTCTTCTGAATATAGATACAAAAATCAACAAAATACTAGCAAACCAAATTCAGCAACATAGAAAAGAATTATGCACCATGATGAAATAGAATTTACTACAGAAATTCAAGGTTTCACATCCAGACATCAATTAATGTAATACACCACATCAGGAGAATAAAGGATAAAAACCACATCATCCTAATAGATGCAGAAAAAGCATTCAATAAAATCTAACACTCCTTCATGATAAAGACACTCAACAAACTAGAGACAGAGGGGAACTTCATCAATCTAATAAAGTACATCTACAAAACCCCACAGCTGGCATCATAACAAATGGTCAAAGACTGAATGTTTTTCCTCTTAAGTTTAGAGGATAGTTTAGAATAACACAAAGATGTTTTTACTCTTGCTACTTCTAATCAGCATTGCACTAGAGGTTCTAGTCAGTGCTATTAAGCAAGAAAAGAAATAAAAGACATCCAGAGTGAAAGGAAAAAGTAAAACTACATCTGCAAATGACATAATCTTATATATAAGGAATTCACTGAAAGACAGTTAGAACTGACAAATGAGTTCAGTAAAATTGCACAATATAAGATCAATATAAAAATCACTTGTAATTTCTAAACACTAGCAATCAACAATCTGCAAATGAAATTAAGAAAAAAATTTCATTTAAAATAGCATCTGAAAGAATAAAATACTTAGGAATAAATTTAACAAAAGAAGTATAAAACATATACTCTGAAAACTACCAGACATTTTGAAAGAAATTAAAAACCTAAATAAATGTAAAGAAATCCCATGTTCATGGATCAGAAGACTTAACATTGTTAAGGTGGCAATACCCTTTAAATTTATCTACAGATTGAAATTTATCTATAGTCTTCATCATAATCCCAACTAGGTTCTTTGCAGAAATTGACAAGTTTATCCTAACATTCACATGGAAATTCAAGGGACCCATGATAGCTAATACAACCTTAAAAAACAAAAAAACAAAAACCAAAAAACAAAAAACAAACAAACAGCAAAAAAGTTGGAGTTGCCTTAATCTCTTCAGTTTAAGAAATCTGAAGTCAGAGGCCATTACATTGGTTTAAACTAAGGAAATCTAATCAGAAATCAGTCTTCCTAAAATGTAAACTTCATGATGGCAAGGACCATATCCGTTCTGTTGTTTATTGTATTTCCAGTGCCTGGTACAAAATTGGCACTCAATAAATATTTACTAAGTACATTACTAATCAGAATAACAGCCAATCCAGTGGTTTTCAAACTTAAAAGTACATCAGAATCACCTGGAAAGCTTATTAAAAGACAGACTGGTGGGCCTTACCCAGCCTTTCTGATTCAGTAGGCCTAGGGTGGGGACCAAGATTTTACATTTCTAAGAAGCTCCCAGGGGATGCTGATACCATCTACTACAGTGCCTGGCACCTAGTATACATGCAATTAATTATATTAGTTGAAAGAATAAATGCATAAACAGACACTTAAGTACTTATTAAATTGAATTTTGTTTTCTCTGAAATGGAAAAGAGGCTAGAACTGAACCCCTTTTGCTACCCCTTGTAGGAAAACGAATGGAAAGATTTTACCCCCATACATGAAGTTGATTTATAGTTATTTTAGTTCTTGATTCATTTTGGTTTTCTTTTCAGTCAGTATATGTCATGACTTATATAACAGCATATTCAAAGTACTTGTGAATGGTATATAATATAACAGCAGTTACCAGAAAAGATGGTGATGTCAAATCTATACCCAAGGGATGACCACCATTGGACTATAAAACAAAATTAGAAAATAAGATTTTAGAAGAGATGAGGCAAGGCAAACATTATTTGTGTTTAAAAACATATTAGTAGGGTAAAATTACAGACTATTCAAGTAACTAGCCAGCATGTTATTATTTAAAAAGCTGATGAAATAGCCTTACTCCAGAAGCCATGGTAAAAGGTAAAGAAAAACTGCCTTTAAAAATATTTTTTCCCATGATCAGAAAAAAGGGAATTGGTGAGTGGTAGAGAAAAGGGTTTAGAACAATACAAAATACCAGACAGGCAAGTAAGGATGGAAATAAATAATTAGAAATTAGAAAGTAATGAAAATTTAGGTCTCTCAATCCTTGACATTATAGTCCTAATGATTTTGCCTTTCTTGAATTCTTATAGGTAGTAGATGTGTAAAAAAAGGAATTAAATGATATAGCTGGATAGGTCAAGTCCTTAATATCATAGTAATCTAGCTGGGAACACGGACTTCAAGTTCTAAATATATAATGAACTTGTAAGTAATACTGTGTAACTATAAACAACTATAAAAAATATTTAGCCAATCACTCTCAGCCAAAACAAGGACTGTTTACCAACAACATCAGTTTAACTCCTCAGTATGAAACATAGTTCTTTCACCTTTCAGATAGGAAAATGTTCAGGTTATCCAAATTATCTGTGAAAAAACCTGTACTAGTTAACAGTTTCCTATTAGTCCATTCAGTTCTTACCCTTGCATAATATGAATCTGAAAAGTTTCCTTCAAATTAAACTTCAAGCATTGGCTCATTCTTGTCCTAAATGGTTCTGACTCCCATAAAACCTCCAACAAAAAATTTCCCTTTTGTCTCTCCTCTTCTGGATGTGCTTTAGTACTGCAAGCTACCATAAGTCAGGAGGAGTAGTTTTAAGATTTTCATAAAAAGTGCTACTAGGGGAGACCAAATCAGTACCTTCTCAATTTGGAGACTCTGAAAATCACATGATTTCCCAGAGTTTTGAATAAAGCTATGGAAGTTTGTGTTAAGTATTTCTTTGTAGAGCATAATAATTCATCTATTCTCAGCTGCAAGGAAAATGAGTAAGAGGCTACAGTATGATGTCTGATAATTCCCATCAGCTCCCTGAATGATTTCAATGTTTTACCTCTATGTATCCACAACACCTTTTGTATCCCTCTCTCATGACAATGATAAAAATATAATTTGGGGGAAATACCTGAAACTAGATTTTTTTTTGAAATTTTAGGGAGAGAGGAAGAGAAAGAGAGTGAGCAGGAGAGAGGGGCAGAGGGGGAGAGAGAGAATCTTAAGCAGGCTCCATGCTCAGCACAGAGCCTGACATGGGGCTTGATCCCTTGACCTGAGCAGAAACCAAGAGTTGGATGCTCAAGTGACTGAGCCACCCAGGAGCCCCAAGAAACTAGATTTTTAAAAAGGCCCTCATCCAATCTGGTGTTCTCTCTAGTACCTGTTCTTAAACGTAAGGAAATGGAGTCTAGTTGCATAGAGAAAATTAATTCCAAAATTACATGTTAATTCTAATAAGAGGAACTCAGGGTTTCAATTTCTTGCTAACAGAAACGAATTACTTTCCTCCTAAAATTAGCAAAACAGTTTGGTCCAGAAAAGGAAAGCTATCTATAAAATGAATGTTACAAAGGAGAATCAAGCGACTCTGTGGTTTGTTATCTTACTTGTAAAAAGGCCATGAGCTCATGCATGTTATATAGAACTAAAGGCAGGTTAAATTATGTTAAAGTATCCCTAGTTGTTTCACCTGACTCTCAGTTGAGATAGATAGTCTACGAAATTCCGCCTGAAAAATAAATGGCTCCAATTAAACACGGGATATGAAACAAAATACACGATCCCAACAAAGATCAATTCCAAAAGGATGTTCTTTAACATGACAATATCCCAGCTAATCTCCCGAGATATCCCAAGATGTCTTACCTGCTTTATCTCACTTTTTAACTGCATTATCCCAGTTCGTTCTGTTTTGGTTGCCCCGACAGCACCAATCTCATGGATGGAAATAGCAGGGCTGACATTTGAATCAGTGGGACGAACTACATAGCATGACAGATTAAACAGAAAGAGAGAGGACAATCAGGTTCAAATAATTTTGTCCACCATGCTTAGAAGACTTAGATATATGTCCTCCTTTTATGTTAATAATAATAATGAAAATAACCCACTATATAACCTTGCTATTCAAAGTGTGGTCCGTACACCAGCAGCATCAGCATCACCTAGGAGCTTGTTAGTAGAATCTTGGGTACCACTTCAGGCCTACTGAATCAGTCTATACTTTTGCAAGTTCCCCACATGATCCTTATGCACAGTAAGGCTTGAGAAGCCGTGTTTTATGACTTTCTTTTACCATTCAAAGGTCTAGCATCCATCCAACTGAAATTACATGTTTATCCTAAGCCTAAAAGTGGAGCAGGAAAGATAACCTTTTTCATTTGCTCTGTTTTAGGTACTTGGCACCAAACACCACTGCCAAAACACCAAGTGCCAAGTGGAGGATTAATTTGCAACAGACCTTAAGATGTATGTGAATTCACAGGTGAAAGGATATATCTGATATATCTGATACACCCAGACACACCACTGCAAACGCTATTAAATTACTGCCAAATGGAATACAAGAAAGTTTCAAATGATACGGGTTGTCAGTTGTCCTAAAGTAGAGGTTCAGGATAATGTAAAGGAATCAATAGAACAGTGCAAAAACAAAAGATGATGGCAATCCACTTAGTTGATTTATCATTTAAGGAGAAAAAAAGAGACATATACAGTAGTTTCCAAATCTTGTTCCAGAAGACAGCTTTGCTTTTAACTGTTTCATATACTGGGGTTCTATTTAGTTGGGGGAAAGTTTCCTCAGATAAAAGAAAAACATTTTAAAATCAAACGAGACCAAACTAACACCCTAAAATGGAAATGTGGTTATTCAATCTTACCACTTCGTTCCACTCCGAACTCCTTGCCACTGAGAATGTGATGCAGGAGATTCTTCATGGCTGAAGGACTGAGATTCATCAGGCCGTCTGTGGCTTCCTCAGCTAGTTATCAGAAATGTTAGTACAGAGGACCACAATTTGCCTGACATACCCACCCTATTTTGTTCTCTATTTCCTTTCTTTCTTAGAATTTCTGAGTTATTTGATTGATTGGAAAAATAGAATTACAAATAAATTCTTCACACCACACTGTCCGGGTATTCATAGTGCAATAGATTTCTTTTTTAGAGTAGGGGGAGAGAGAAAGAGAATCTTAATCTTAAGTAGGCTCCAAGCTCAGTGTGGAGCTCAATGAGGGGTTTGATCTCAGGACCATGAGATCCTGACCTGAGCTGAAATCAGGAGTCAGATGCTTGACTGATTGAGCCACCCATGCGCCCTGCATACTGCAATAGATTCTTTTGTTTTTAATTTATTTATTTATTTTGAGAGAGAGAGAGAGAGAGAGCGAGCGCAAGCATGAAGGTGGGGTGGGGCAGAGAGAGAGAGAGAGAGAGAGAGAGAGAGAGAGAGAATATCTGAAGTAGGCTCCAGGCTCCAAGCTGTTAGCATACAGCCCGACATGGGGTTTGAACTCACAGATGCGAGATCATGACTTGAACTGAAGTCAGAAGCTTAACTGACTGAGCCACACAGGCGCCCCTGCAATAGATTCTTAATAATTTAAAGACTGATTATCCAGTTTATGGGCTAATCAGATTCTTGATTTCTTCTTCATCCTCTTTCCACACCATTAATCTTGATCATAGATACTTGATCATAGTATCACTGTCTTGATTACCTCAGCTTTGTAATATACCTTGACCTCTAGAATTGTAATGCACCATAATCAAGACTATGATACTGGCATAAAAACAGGCACATAGATCAATGGAATGGAATATAAAACCCAGAAATGAACCTACAACTATATGGTCAACTAATCTTCGACAAAGCAGGAAAGAATATTCAATGGGAATAAGTCTCTTCAACAGATGGTGTTAGGAATATTGGACAGCGACATGCAGAAGAATGAAGCTGAACCACTTTCTTATACCAGACACAAAAATAAATTCAAAATGGATGAGAGACCTAAGTGTGAGACCTGAAACCATAAAAACCCTACAAGATAGTATAGGCAGTAGTCTCTTTGAAACTGGCTGTAGCAACTTCCTTCTAGCTGTGTCTCCTGAGGCAAGGGAAACAAAAGCAAAAATAAACTATTGGGATTATATCCAAATGAAAATGTTCTGCACAGCAAAGAAACAATCAACAAACCTAAAAGGCAACCGATGGAATGGGAGAAGATATTTGCAAATAACATATATGATAAAGGGTTAGTATCCAAAATATAAGAAGTTGTAAACTCATCACCCAAAAAACAAATAATCCAGTTAAGAAATGGGCAGAAGACATGAATGGAGATTTTTCCAAAGAAGACATACAGATAGATGGCTAACAGACACATGAAAAGAGGCTCAATATCACTCCTCATCAGACAAATACAAATCAAAACTACAATGAGATATTGCCTCACATCAGTCAAAATGGTTAAAATTAACAACACAGGAAACAGCAGGTATTGGTGAGGATGCAGATAAAGGGGAACCCTCTAACACTTTTGGTGGGAATGCAAACTGGTGCAGCCACTGTGGAAAACAGTATGGAGGTCCCTCAAAAAGTTAAAAGTAGAATTCCCTGCAGCGCCTGGGTGGCTCAGTCGGTTGAGCGTCCAACTTCAGCCCAG